AAGAATGCCATGTGAGTTCTTGAAGACAAATTTACTTTTTTATTCAAGAAATGTGCCAAAAGTTGTAATTCTATCTTTGCCCAACCAAAGGTGAATGAATAGAGTGGTTTTAACTAGGCATGCACTACTGTGTGGTACAAGTAACTTTCCTCTTTCATTTCACCACAACTTTCCTCTGTAGTGACTTGTAGTTACAAATGTGTTTCCAGTGGCTGAAGCTGAGATCCAGGCTTGAGAAATCTCATTGGGGCTGTGGTGGTGGTGGAAGGGGGTGGGGAGATACATTTTCATGGTAATATTTGATTTTACAGCATTAAGATAAATCTAAAAGAATGAGAAACCACGGACTAATGGTTTCTTATGGTGAGATTTTCTATTTTAAAAATCATATAAAGTACCATATAAAAACTAAGAAGGGCAGATGTTGTTCCTCAAACGTTCTCAAAGTTCATGAAATAATATTCATTTAGTTAACAGAGAATGAAAACAAATTATTACAGAGGATGCTATGATGAAAAGTAGATAAGAAACGTTAAACAGCAGTCCTGTTCCTTTTTTCTCCAAAGTAAGTCCACCTATGTTGAGCTGATGGCTGCAATCTGATACACAATTCCTTGGGAGTAAATGCCATTGGACTAGCAGATGCACACACAGTTGCACCATAAATTTGTTTTTTTCAAGAGGCCTTCAAATTGTGCAATGGAACAAGAATAAGTGTGGAATCCAATTAGCTTATCCTGCATATGGGATGACTTCTTTCAGCATAAACACAAGGGAAGGTTTTTTCCTTGCCAGCCCCATATGTATCCTCTAAATTTGTTCAGGAGGGTTGGGAGAGATCCTGGAGTAGATCTTTAAAATGTGCTAGGAGAAGGAAAGATGGAGAAAGGTTTGCAGTATTCATGGAAATTGACTTGGGTGATATGATTTAGAATATAATAAACTCCTGGGCAGTGCCAGCCAAACTTGACGAGAATATATCATGATGTCTTAATGCTTTCTGATTTATTCTAGTGTATAAGATTTTTTTAAAAAAATAGTATATAAACTGTTTCCACTTACCCTCATAAAAATCATAGGTGCACATTGTGTGGCCGACAAGTGTTGGAAAATTCTTAATCTCTCTGCTACATTCTAGTAATTCATCAGCAAGGCTTTGATCAAGTTCAGTGCTTCGTATTACCACATTGTCCAGTATCACCTGCTCAAACCGAGGCTTAAAAAATGAATCCACTGCCATGTCTGTTATTACAACAGAGCCAGGTTCAATTCCTGAAAACAGGTGGGGAAGTTAAGAACCAGTTGGTAATAAACAAGTCCACAATCTTCCATTGTAGTGATCTTGATCTCAGTAATCAGAATATAACAAAACATTTAAATTAAGCTTACACAAAGTTTATATGTGTTGACAGAAACAATGCCTAGATGTGTAGGCCATCTTTCCCATTTTAGGCAGCACTGACAAGGAAAGAAGGAGCATGAATGCAAGGCTTGCCCTATGCAGTCCATAGTTAACCTGTACATCTGGGTTTCCTTTATTAGGACTAACCCAGAAGTTGCAAAGTAGCCACCAGAATTTGTAGGTCTCTGAGTGTGTGTTATACTAAACAGAAAGAGGCAGGGAAAGTTGGATCATGGTTGAAAAAGCCTAGTTTGGGCCATGGTATAATTATCGAAATGCAGATACTTTTCTTTCTGGATTTCTGTGGTGTTGAATATGGGATAGCACCATGAGATAGAAGAGGGCAAATTACAAGTTTATGCTGGGCCTTCCAGAAACGTTGGCTGGATCCAAACCCCTTGCTCTACTCATGGAAAGATACCAGTTGCAGAGCAAGACTTCCCTGTTCCCTCTCCCTGTGAAACTCAACACATCCTCCACATCTTCTCCAGATGGTCCAAGCAACCCACCAGAACAGATTTGGAGTTTATGTGTTGAGAGCAGAGGATGGGGGTACCAATGTTTGGGCTTACAACCTGACTGTTGTAATACTTGACTGTGTTAAGGAATTGTACATTTTAGTGGAAAACCATTGATAGTAAACTACTATTGTGTATATAAGGGTCATGAGAAAGAATTAGTATTCAGTGTCGTTATTACAGTATGACAGTGGGTCATAGGGTACAATCTTATGCAGATTTACTTGGAAGTAAGTTCCACCAGTATAAACAAACTCTGTAAGTTTATACAGAGTTGCAGATGTGTACTGATTTTGTGTAGGGGACTAAGGTATTCCTTTTTAAGCTACCAAAAACATACTCAACTGTATATTTTATTTTCAGAGATAAAATAGATCATACATAATGGAAGTAATATAGGATCAATGCCTTTTGAAGTAATGATCTTTTTTTTTTTTTTTGGTCTACTCAGTCTATGGTGTGTTATCAAGTCTATAAGGCATCCTGGCCCGTGACTGTGAGGGTAATCTATTGGGTTTTTAATTGGCATATAATTTTGGATCCTGTTCAGGTAGAACTTTCAGTAGATGAAAAGACAGTCTATCTATATCTGGCATGTAATTCAGGTATGTTCACCTGACAAATTCACCCAGCATTTCTTTGGAGTTTTGTTCATGATGGGACTTTCCTTTTCTATTAATATTAATATGGTGGTTGCTGCTGAATAAATATTGTTATAAGAAAAACATATTTTAAAGAACAGGAATCTAAATTTTGAAGGAGAACATTTTTATGAATTATAAAATATACAAAGTGCTATTGTACAACGTGAAACTGATACTATTTCTTTGTATCAGTCACACATATATGACTGTCTTTTGAGGAGTTAGGGGAAAATCCAAATGACTTTAATCTAAAAAGAACATCAAGTCCTGTGTTTTCAGGCTGGTACTACCAGAACACGTTTTTCGTCTCTTGTATGCCTCGGCTCATTGATATTTGTTGACTTTGAAGGGAAAAAGTGCTGCAAAAATCTCATAAAGACATGACCTTTCCCTGAGATGTATTTCATTTGCTTCCCTTACGCCTGGCAACAGCAAAACTCTTTGCTCACCTAATCCTCCTGAAGTACCCATGCGTATAATGGTAACATCACAGCATTTTGCATGGTGTAGCAATTTGATTAGTTCATGAAGCATGATCGAAATGGAGGGAACACCCATCCCGTGCTGTTAGGAAAATAGAAAGGAAAGGAAAGGATCACTGTAAACCTTAGCAGAAGAGACCTTAATTTGTAAAATGCATTTAATGAAGATAACAAAATAAGTCTATATTTAAAGTATTGCTGCACAATAAAATCCCAGTAGATGTATGATGCATGATTCAGCTAAAAGTAATTTGCTTTTCTCCCACTGAAATCAGTGAGCCAGTTCATGTGATTCCTGCAGCCTACTATGACATTTAAGCCAACAGGTTGTGACATATGTCAGCTGCCATTTTGAATATGCAAGCCATGGTGGGAGTGCATCGAAGCTTGCATGAATTTAATCCTTGAGTAATTCTTGCTGCCCAGGTTTGCAGGACATGATAAGCCATGGCAAACACCCATCACAGCTTGCCTATTCAACATGGCAGGTGCCATGTGCCGCAAGGCAATTGTGCCAACTCAGACAATGAGTTGGTTTTGACATAATATCAAAACATGGCTTAATTATCATGGCCATCATTATGCTCAAACCCAGAACGATGAGTGAACTATGGGTTGTTAACCATGCACAAACCACAGAGAAAACCCATGGTTTGTTGTTGGGCTGTGGACTGTGGCCATTTGAATCAAGCGTTGTCATTATGTAAGAAACCAGAACTGTAAAATGTTGATGGGTTGTTTTGCCAGCATACAGAGTCAGAGGGTTAGAACAATTTAAAAATCCATTCTCTTGGTATGCCAGTACTCCAGTGCTGCAAAGGCAGTTGAGATTCAGCGTGGGAGTGGAAGAAGGAGAAAAGAAACAAACAAACCCAGAGAATGGGAAAAAAATACATACTTTGTTCAAAAACCCCTGGCTGCAGCAAAAAGCCATGCATTTAATAAATTAGCATTATATCTGAACCAGACCAAATTGTCTTGCAAATGCAACACATGCAGGCAGGCGATCCCTTCCATTAGCTGAGCATTTAGATAAACAGGGCACATTTGCACAAGGGCTATCTCAGACCAAGCTAAAAGAAGTCTAGAAAATGAGGGGCATAAACCAGCCAAATCGAGCATTAATTTCAATGAAAGAGAGTTAAACATTTAATTCTCATTCATTCTCACCTTAGTATTAATGGAATTGAAATGTACTTACACTTGACTTGATATGCCGTAACTGTTTGAAATAGCTTAAGGTTATTTAAAAAAGGATTCTGTACTGCACTTTAATACAATTTTGTGTTGTCTTTGAAATGTGCTGAATTAACAATGTTTAGTTTATGAGTTACACACTGTTTTTCAGACCATAAAACTGGAACACTTGTTTCTTTGACAAATGCTCAGTGTTGAACTTGCATCATCTGGATTTATCAAATCAGTTCAAATTAACAAACTGAACACAGGGAGAATGCTCTGCTGCTGCTATGCCTCCGATCATTCTGTTGGGCCTCTACAGGAACAAGCTCTTCCTAAGACAAATATCCTTGCAAAATCTAGACGCAGCCTTGCAAAAACAGAACAGGTCCATGAAGAAGAGGAGGGAACTCTGCCAACTTAGCCTATTCCAGCAACAGGTTTTTCTGCTTGTTTCCCATTGTTTGTGGAATCTCTAGCATCTGGCTGCTTCCTGCAGCAATGGTTTTCCAATCAATGGTGTGTGCACAGGGTAGGGTACAGCCTTTGGTTTGAAAGCCAGTCAAGAACTATGGGCCTTTTCTTCTGATCTTATCAGAAAGGTAGAAAGTTCTGCTTATACTGAATCAGGCCACTGTTTTATCAACTTGGTATTGCCTGCAGCAGGGATAGACAGCCAGGTGCCCTCCCAGTTTTTGGGATGAAAACACCCATAAGTCCCAGCCAGCACATTCAGTGAACATGGTTTTGGGCACTGTAGTCCAAAACATCTGAAGGGCACCTAGGCTGCCCATCCCTAATTTCTACCAGGTGAGAGTGGTTCTCCAGGGATTCAGCCGAGAATCCACTCGGTGCCAGGAATGGGTCCTGGACCTTCTACAGGCAAGCAGGGGATCTTCCTGTGAGCTCTGGTGCTGTCACCACACAGCAGTTCAGGTGTAAACCAGCTGTATAAAGAGTCCTATGTAAGTCCCATCATCCAGTGGGTCATGCCTCATTAAATGAATGGCACCCCTGTTTAAATGAATGACAACAGAGACTGTCCAACACACTTCGTGTGCATTGTTGTAATGATGCTTGCAAGAAGTCCATAGGAAAGCTCATTGTTACTTCTTGCAGGTTGCAGGTGGGGAGTTCAAATAAAAAGAAAAGCAGCCAGTTGAAAGCCAGTGGTTGAGCCTATGGCAAGAGTTCAACTAGGACTTGCCTGCCTTGCAGCTCACTCTCAAGCCCTAGCTCACAAAGAGCGGAGGGCAAAGCCCTCCCCCAGCAGTCTTGCCCTTTCCTCACCCACTGCTGCTTTTCCGAGTGCACCAGGATTACATGCCCTTCATTTGCAGCAGTCTTAAAATTAGCATCCAGCAGCTCAGCCTTCCCCAGGGCTCTGGATTGCATCTAAAAGCAGTGCAGCATGTGCAGAACGGATGATGGGAAAAGGAGGAGGCTACAAGAGGCCCAAGTGGGAACTGCCACACGTTGTGCTGCCTAAGTGAGTGCGGGATAGAACTCTCAAGGCTGTTTGCTTATTTATTCATTGCTCTTCATTATCAAATCACAGGATACTGTATGAAATGCATTAAAAACTGCAATCCAAGCATAAAATCAACAGCAAAGAAAATCTTATCAATGTAGGGATTAAAATCAGCAGGCAAGCTTCAACAGGCATCCAAACTCCCACGGATGGGGGAGAGAAGGGTTGGAGCATGGCAGCAGAAACGATCCTCTGTCAGCTTGCCATCAGACATGGACTCTGAGCTGTACTTCTCAGCAAACTGGTAGGTCGACATGAAAGAAGATGCTCTCTACTTGGAATCCAAAAGCCACATTTACTCGCACAGCCTGTTTCCCTTCAAGCTTATAACGTCCCACTGTCCCAAGTCGCTGGTGGACTGCAACACAAAGTACTTAGACCCCAGCAATAGCATTGCTTACATACAGCAGGAGGCCAGATGAAACCTTGAATTCACAGACTGCTGTGGAACTGAACAAAAATGTGCCTTTCCCCTGCTAACACGGGAACACCAAGCACCTTTCAAAGGCAACGTGTGACATCCTAAGACACATGGCATGAGTCAAATGAAGCAATGGTATAAATCATAGTCTTGGGGTCTGATCCATCACCACCACCACATACCCCTTTGACTTGCATGGGAAGTAGGTTTTCTGCTCCCAGTCTATTAATCTTAAGTCTCGCTTGCCTACCAGAGAAGCAGGTGGGGAATTTCCCGAGCAGCTCTGTGCATCTGTTACATTCCCTGCATCAGAAAAGCAAGGAAATAATTTATAGAAACAGCAAGAACAAGCCATGGCCATTTTTCACTCTGTGTATTAAAATTTAAAACACGTAGCATTTTTGAATGCCTGAAAGATTGGGCTGGCAGTAACACTTGAGGAGTGTCTGAATGGAAAGAAGCAGAAATTGCTGATAAATTAGTTATGAAATGAGGAATTTCCTGGAATTTAGGAGAAAGTGGATTGAGAGATATTTTGCCCCCTTATAATAACAGAGCTTCAGGCCAACCAAGGCAACTGAATGGTGGGAGTCCCAGGATAGAGCAAGGGAAGTCTGCACAGAACCATTTAGTTCAAGCTGTGAAATGCACTTCAAAGAGATGTGGTGATGGCTACCACTTTGATGGTTTGAAAAGGAGAGTGGACAAATTAATGGAAAATGCTGCTAAGTGACCAGGATTGTGGAAGCATGCCTCTGAAGGGACAGCAGCAGCAATGGGAAACAGGATGCCGGCCTGCATAAGCTTCTGATCTCACCCAGCAGGGCTACTCTTCTGTTCCTCATGGAAGCCACTTCTGAGGAAACATGCATAGAATTGTGCTGCATAACTTAAAACTGTATGTAAAGTTTTCTTTGGATAACGTGGCATGGTATACAGAGCACAAATGCACATTATTTCAGCATAACTCAAAGAGATGGTTATAGCTGGCTGGCTCTTTGAGAATAGAGCGAAAAGACTCTCTTCAACACAAGAATTAGAGCTCAACCCTATCATGATGCCTTGTAAGCCCCAAACTCAGAGGTTGACCGCTTCCTCTGCAGAGCAGGAGGAGCAGCAGAGGCGATCTTTTCTTCCCCATCCTCCCATCCTGCATTTTCCTCTAGATGGGCTTGCTCACTCCAGTGCTGTCTAGGGGCCACGGGATTCCCCCTGTTACCATTAAATTTGCTGCAGGCAACGAGCTGCACCACAAGGCACTTAAACACCAGGTAGAGATTAATCTCAGTATTATGAGCTGCTTCCAGCAGTGGCTTTGCACTAGCAGGAAGTGTGTGCACTCACCCAGGAGAGGCCCTGCCAGTTTTGCTTATGCCTTCTATGCACGGCAGCACTTTGCACCATGCTGCACATTGTTCTGGAGGGCCCCCCAGTTCTCAGCGTTTTGAACAGCATGGTAGAAGGGATGCCAGCAAAAAGCAAATGCCCCATCTTGCATGTGCATCAATTACTTCCTCTTCTGCACAACCACCACTGAATGCAGCCAATCCTATTAGCTGTGATCGGCATTGCAGCAGCAAAAGCAGAAGCTGATCGATGCCAGAAATGAAACAAATTGAAGCAGGCTACACTTGATGATGAAAATGTGACTTTCCTCAGTGATGAAAATGATGCGCTTAAAACCTTTCCTTCACCTTTTAACCTAATTCCCCTCCTCCTTGATTTCATGTGCAAATGATACTATGTATGAAATGACACAATAGTGCCAGATGTGGAATCCCCAGAGGTCTCATATTTGGAAAGGCAAATGGTTAAGTGAAACCCTAGGAGGCTTCATCGGTGGAACATGTCTGCACTATCTGGCAGCCTATCTATTGGCCATGGCAAGGCCTTTCTTAGCAAAACCTACGTCAATAGATAGGTATCGGCCTACAATCTGAGGGGTCATTTGCACCCTGGTTCTTACGAGCTTCCTAAGCAAGTCCAATCCTGTGGCCTGTATTTGCTTCATTCTGCTCTTCTTCCTGAGCTACCTCAAATGGCCCATGCTGCTGACAGTGGCAATTCAGAAACCTGTATATGCCAGCAGTTGCACTCTAAGCCTGCAAAATAAGGAAACTTCATTTTTCCCTCAAGGTAAAAGCTTTGCTCAGCTGCCATATTTCTGGTTTAACACCCAAGGGATGTAGTGGGATTACAGGAGGTGTCCTCAGGCACTTTTGCTGAGCTTCTCACTCACAGAAGAAGAAAGAGCTGCTTGCTTACAGAAGCCATGCTTGTCAGTCAAGGCTAAGATGCTGACAGGCAGTACAATGAGCAGAAGTTTCCTGAAAAGCTGCCGGTCCTGCCATAACAGTGGCGTTGTTGCTTTTTATGAAGTCCCTTGATTGTAAGGGCTTTCATTCCAGCTTGTCTCACAAGTGTTGGGTGTGCATCAAATATTGAATAGGGGATGTGAACGATGTACTAAAGTCATCAGTTACTGTTGTGCCACTAATGGATGTGTTTTTGGTGCTCCATAATGTACTTACGCTGACAGGATGGGGCCAATCTTATACATACAGTAGCGATCTGTCCCAGCACAAACATCGTTTATGTCTTTTCCATCTCCTTCGAGTCCAAGTTCTTTATGCATGAACTGAGCAAAAGCTTTCATCCTGTTGGGGCTTCCACCCACACAGACAAACTGGAAATAAATTATCAGATTATCAGCCATAGCAACAACTGAGACTTGGTTTGCACTGATGATAAGATGTTGAACTTCTTTCATACAATTTTATATCTGAAGGGAGTATGCCAGGAAGACAGAGTAAATTAACTGCCTAGCCCTTTTATTCAAGGTTCACAGAATTGAAATGTAGTTTGATCTCAGTTATCCTAGGAATCTAGTGGATTTCTAATATACCAACAGATTTTGTTTTAGAAAAACAAGTTGTTCAACTTCCTTACTCTTTCTGTCACATAGCCTGAAGCCCCAACTAGACTGTGTTAGGAGAAGTGTATGGCTGTTCTTTAAAACAGCACCTGCACCTCTTCATCATCTAAATGAACTGTGTTTTCTGACCTAAGAACCCCACCCTTGCAAGTCATAGCCATTGATGTGAAGTGGGAGCAGAGCTGAGCTCACATCGTGCATTTAGTTCAATGGTTACCAGTGAGGGCTGGAGAGCGAGAGAGGAAGAGAAAAAAGAGATACAAGACTGCAATTTGTGGTCTCCCACATATGTGGCTCCTGTCCTGAATGCCTGTATTGTCTATGAAATTCTGCTGGCCTCTGTTTAATGAGATAACTGGCAAGAAAAACCAACAAAACATGCTTCTGTACTTTGTCAGTGATAAGCACTGTCTGCATTTTGTACTTGGGTGTTGTCCTTAGCCCAAATAGCTCTTACGAAGCAAACATAATATTCAGCTAAAAGTAAATCCAGCATGATATCCTTTTAATGCAGGCACTGAATGCAAACTGTGGGTAGTTATTTCTATTGAAAACAAAGTAGAACCAGATGCTGAAGTGGCGTGTGGTCTGATTTATTGTTTCAACAGCACCAAGCAGAATGGCAAGAGATTCAGATAATTCAATAGAAGGTAGTAGGAGTAACAAATGCGAACAAAAATGTTCACAGAAGGCCATATTAAAACAAAAACCAAGAAACCCGATTTCTGAGTCTTGGAGGTGGCTCCTGAACATGTAACTGTCAGCTCTTGCAAATGGTTTCTGCAGTCAGACACACATCGAGGTTTTAAATTAGGAAACTTGTATCGATAACGTTCCGTACAGCCTTGCATGCTACTGGGCAGCATGGAGAATACAATTCTTGTTACCCTAAGCATGCCTACTAGGGAATAGGCTTCGCTGATAATTACTTTGGACAAAACCCATTTTGGATTGTGTTGCATGTTATGTGCTGCCGCTGCTGCTGGGAATACACTACAGAGAAGCATGAGTTTTCCTGGTCACTTCAGCTCAAAATATTAAGAGATTTGCAGTTCCATGCTAGTGTTCTGATTATGGCTGAAAAGAATGCATATAATACAAACCAGACTAAGGGCATGCTTGCTTTAGCCAAAGTGAAGCACTTTAGAGAAATTTCAGTGCAAAATATTTAAACATCTCTCAACTCTCCCACTGAAAGCAGTGGGACTTAAGGTACTAAACTTAAGGCTGTACCTTTTCAAATTACCTAGAAAGCCAGTTCTGTGGCAACATATTTGAAAAAACCATGTTAGACATTGTCCTATTATGTGAATGTGAGCAATGTTGAATAGGTTTGCATTTGTTTTACCATCATTTACTTGACAGAGGACAGAGTGGTTTCTACTTTATCATTGTTTCTATCCTCCCAGATCAGTCCTCCCACTGTTGGCATGTATCCCATCACCACCACCCCTGAAATTCAATCCCAAGGTACATTGCTCCCTGCTTATGTCACCTGCCTCTTCCTCATTGCTCCCCAATCGGAGGGTGCATGCCTGGAGCAGCTCTGCACTTGCTATTCTTTCCAGAGCTGTACAGCAGGTCAATGGAAACCATGATCCTGGGTTCAGACTACAGGACCAGCCATGTTGGTACAGAGAAACAAGAGAACAAATAATTGTTTCTTATCATGATTTTTAGAACCATACTTACCATGGTAAAATACCACAACTGATTTCAGTCAACAAGACATACCAATTCTGGTTAAACACACACACACACACACACACACACACACACACACAAATCTACCATAGCTTGTCATGTTATCTGAAATCAACCATTCTCTGTTAGCAGAAGTGAGCATACTGGAATTGTCCTGTGAGCCTTTAATCCCATGTTTGGTGTGTTCCAGTGACTCATGATTCAGGTGTAGCTGTAGCTTACATTAAAAAGTCTGAAAGGGCTTATTAAGAAAGGATAGGAAGTCCTAACAGTGTAATAGAGCCAAACAGTGTGGTGGTTTACTTAAAATATTAGACTGGGACTTGGGAGATCTCAGTTCTAATCCCAACTTGACCATATAATTCACTTAGAGATTTTGGAGCAGTCACTGATTCTCAGCCTAACCTGCTTTGTAGAGTTGTTGTGATGATAAAATGGAGAGGAGAATTATATAAGCCGCAGTGGATTCTTTGCAAGAGAGACTTTATCTTTGAGAAAGCCATGTGCTTAAGACAGGGAGGGAGCCTTATGGCTAATGAGGTGGGATACAAATAAAAAACAAATAAAAAGATTGGCACATGGGTATCAGAGTGACCATAGAACAAGGACTCCCTAAAATTATCAGTCTGTTGTGAGCCAGGCAGCAGGAAGCAGCGGTCAAAGAATAAGAAAGAAGGCATTCACCTCTGCTCTACTCTCAAGGCCAAGGTGCAATTTCTAATCTTCTGAAGAATACATTTCCCACTGAGAGTCTTCTAATGAAAAATGTTCAAGTTTCACAGAAAGCAAATGCCAGGGACCATAGTTTGGAGAGGAGACAGATGCATGCTTTGTGTGCAGTAGGTACAGTTTCAGTTCCAGGCCTCTCTAGTTATAAGGGTGAGGCAGTAAGCAGTGGGAAAAACCTCAGCCTGAGGTCTTGGAGAGCTAATGACAATCAGATACTGGTGCCATAATAAATAATGGGTTAAATCAACCCTCTTGTCAGGATCTGCAAAATAAGGCAGCTCCTTCCCTGCCCCATGTGGCCTGATAGATAAGGCAGCCTGGCTCACTTTGCAAATACTTTCAGCATTGAAGGATGGAAACCACTGCGATCATGCAGACCAACTGGGAGGTACCGGAGGCTCTAGAAAAGTCTCCTCAATCTTGCCCAGCTTTACACTGCAACAGCTTTTGCAGTGGTAGCTGGCTTATGTTTTTAATGCAGCTTCTGTCTCCAGTCTTCACTTGTTGCTAGACTCTCGCCTATTCCATTTTTGCTTCTGGTTCTGCCATGCCTTTGTCAGTATCTGACCCCTGCCTGTACCTGAATGTATTTACTCCTTGGGCTTTGTTACATTTTACTGAGTTTCTGACCCTTGCCTGAATAAACTTTGGTTCTCTTTCTATCTCCATCTCACCTGGCCCTGGTATTTCAGCTACGGATGCCTTTGTTTATGTTTCTGAGCTGACACTTCTCCAAACTGATGCCTTCCAGATATTTGGACCACTATTCCCATCAACATCAACTGGTATGGTCAAAGGGCAGAACAAGTGATATAGCCAAAACATTTGGAGAACACCAGGTTGAGAAAGGCTTGTAAGGATGGATAGACAGTATCATCTGGTAGAATTCACCTTCCTGTAGTCCAGCTTACAGATGTAGGTATGGGAATTGTGTTCCTGTTCAAGACCCATGTCAATGCATTTCATTTGCAACTCTGACGGTGAGTAGAAATTATAATTCTCAGGAAATGTTTGCAATTTCCCAACTTGTGTACGTACTTGTGCAGTTGCGCAAGTGTGTACTTCTGAAAATGCAGTTTCTCTTCAAAACTGTAATTTCACATTCTAGTCTATGGTGAAAGTGTACCTTAGTGGTATGTGTTTGGGAATATACTTTTTATGATAAAATGCAGAGTGTTCTGTACAGGAAAAAAGAAGCTAATATTTGGGAGTAAGAATGAGAGGAAAAGAGCATCAGGGTAGACAAAAGAGAACCTCAGTGAGCTCAAATTTTGCTTGTTTTCCATCCCTACATCTCTTGTTCATTCTTAATTTTGTATGGGAGGGCTTTACATGTGAAAAAATGTATTTTTGATGCAGGTTTTTTTTTTAAACACAACTCTTGAGTGTTTGAAGCTGAAATGCTGCAACAGAAGCTGCTCTCTCCTTTCTCGCAAGAAAACACTCCAACTTGAAAATGAAGCTATGATGAGCCAAATTCCTCAATGCATTGTTTCTGAACTGGAGTCAGTACAGCTACCCCAGGGAAGAATTTAGCTCATCATACCAGAAACAGGTTTAGTTTCCCCAGTCTACTTATTTCACTGAGAAAGGAAGGGTAATTGCCCATAACTGTGGCTGCAGCGTACTTTTCTGAGTTGCTTTACAGAATGGCACTGATGCAGTCCCTGTGGGACCCTAAGTCATCTCTGAAGCTGGCACTGAGAAGACACTGTGATCAAAGATAACAGTAAAAGAAATGAAGAGAAACATGAGCAAGAATGAAGAATGCTTAGAAATGCTGCAATTGTATAAAGTCTCTTCTACCTTCACGTCTCCAAACATGGCTGGCAGATTGTGTGTTTTGGTTCCCAAATCTAAGTGGTAGAGAATATCTTCATCCATTAGATCCAAGTGAGGGTTCTTCACATAAACAACCCTATTCCTGGGTGGGGGTGGGGAATCAAGCAAACACAAAAGAGGAATCTTGTAAAATGAAGCTGTAATAGCCCAAGAATTCATGCAACTTCTTGGGTTGCCAAGTTATATATTAATAATGCTGAGAGCTGGAGAAAGTGAGTGAGTGAGTGAGTGAGTGAGTGGATTTGGGTCTAAGCCAAGCTCTTTCCAAATGAACTGTTTTTCATACAGTAAGTGTGCAATTGCCCATTTGATATACGGACTGCTGACATCTTCCCTAGAGGATGAACTTCTCCATGTTTTCTAGCACTTACTTCATTCATTTTTGTGTGCTTTATTTAACGTTCTTCCTCTCCACTAGTAAAATGGCACTCACAGTGGCTAACTTTAAAATCCAGAGGAAAAACAGAACCTTAAATAAAACCTAACATAAAAGCAGATACATTAAAAGCACAATAAAAGAAAAAGGTGGTGCCAACCAGTTGAACCTCCCTTCTTCAACAACAAACCAGTTGATAAGCCTAGTGCCCACCTGAGTAAAAGTATATATTTGATGGCAGAATGACAGAGTGGACCAAGCTACTCTCTCTGACAGGATGCTCCAGGGCCTGGGAGTGGCCATCAAGAAGCTTCTCTTGCAGTTCTGCCAAACATGTCTCTGATGGCAGTAGCACTCAAAAAAAAAAAACACACACACACCTTCCTCCCTTTACAACTTGGGCAGGCTTTTAAGGGAAAAGGCAGATATCTACTTGCTCCCAAGATATGCAAGCAATTCAGGTCATGAGCAGAACTTAGGTCATACCTGCAAACAGAGTGGTAGCCAGTGAACCTGCTGGACTGTGGCTCAGTGGAGCCAGGGATGCAGCATGGGCACTTTTGGATTAGCAGGTGCGCTGATACCATCTACTCCCCTCCCTCTCCCAGAGAATTGCCTGTTCCCTCTGAGCTTCGCTGCAATCCTCAAAGCACCTGAAGGGAGATAAATTTCCCAGCAAAAATATATCATTCTTTGTATGCAAAGTGTTTTGGAGTGGCTTGATCTGGAATGGACATTTAAAACTATTACCTTTATAAATGACTGGCTCCTAGTGCAGGTGAAAATCTTGTTAATTGTGCTGTTTACTGGAGCATTTATAATATGATGATGACAACAGCAAACTGGATGTTTGACATTGCAACCCTTCTCACCTGCTGCCCTGGAAGAGAGCTCATCAAGTGTGTCGTGTGCTCATTGCTTGCCTGGAGTGATAGAATTTGCCGTCCAAGCAGGGCTGTCATCAAGGGTTGCACATTGCCAAAGAGTAGCTGCTTGGCAAGTGCCCAGAGGGCTTACTGACAAAAGCCCATCGCCTTCACCTGGGCAGGCTGCTTGGGCCTTTTCCTCTTGCTCTGGTCAAGACGGCAGTGGCCGTGGTGTGGAGGGAGAGCAGGAGGCGGCAAGGGTTCAGTTCCTCCCAGTCTGGGAAGCCAGCCCATGAACGCATGAGGAAAAGCAGCTGGTTGCAATGGTGGTGAAAGGGGAGACTCACTGAGGAAGGAAGATTACTGGGGGGGGGGGTCTTGCCCTAGGGCCCCCCAACACCTGGAATTTGCTCTGAGTTCAACACACATCTGGAAGGCACCAGGTTAGGGAGTGCTGGTCTGTAGCACCATCAGTGGGCATTGCAGGATACAAGTTACTTCCAAGCTCTTCCCTTTATGCATTCTTTTCTGTGAACTAACCTCATGCTGAAGCCCAGAGTTTTGTATGGGGGATCTTCATATGCAAACAAAACACATTTGGATACAATTTTTTTTTTCAAAAGCTCTTGAAGGTTTTAGGTCGAAATTCTGCACCCACAGAAGCTGCCTTGCCCCAAGGGTCTTAGAGGAATGCGATACATTCTGTTGGAATGGAGAGAAGCAAGCCCATCCCAACAAAAGCAAAAGCATGCAGCTGGAGACACTGGGAAATGAATGAGCTGAAAACAAACCAATGAAGAGAAAAGTGGGAGGCAAGGCATTCTCAAAAGTACTTAAAATCACCATAGTCCATTTATGCATTGACCCTCAAAGGGACCCAATTGCACATGAATTTAAAATCCACCCCAAACACCAGCCCTTCCCTGCCAGCTCCTCTGGCCCTTGTGAGTCATTCTGGTTTGGCTGCAGTGCCAGCACCTGTCTTTAGTCAGCTGCCAGAACTTTTTCTGCCTCTCTTGGGTTCTCTTGCAGCTGCTGCCCTCATAGTCTTCTTGTTTCAAAATAATGCAGCAGGTGGACTTTGCACAGAGACTTTTCCACCACTGCTGCTGGTTATAATCTCCAGGGAAGGTTTATCTCTTCAACTTGTTGCCAATTTTGTAGATGTATTTTACTTTGGCTTACTCTACAAGTGTATTTATTTAGCTATTACTCCAGTTTCCAGCCCACCTACTGGCTCAGCTGGATTTCTAAAAGTTAAAGCTGGTCAAAATCTAAACAAATCACATGTAAATAACAAACACATTTACATGAATGCCTGTGCACACACAGTGCAAGCTGGTGACACCCAAGGTCCACAGAACAGCTATTCATTCTGGGATGCAGTCTGAGCTTTTAAGGGGCTACCCATGCTGCTGAATGTATTTGAAGATGGGGCTCAGCATCCCTGGTAGCTCTGTTAGTTCAGGATGAAATCCAAGGTGAATACACAGCTCCAATGTGCGTGTTTCTCTGGGGTGGGAGGTGTACATATGGACACACTGAAGCTCGCTTAACTATCTTTCCCATATTCTGCCTTGGCCAGCAAGAAGGCAACTCTGTGAGTACAGGGGGAACTTCAGGGAGAAAGCATCTAGGTCAACAGTTAAGCAGATAGGTGAATTAAGTGTCTATGGACTTACAGAGAATAAAGATGGCAGGCAATTAATAACCTAATTGTCCTATCTTAATAAAAAGTTAGGTTAAACACAGGTGCATAATTTTGTGTCACCCTGAAGCAAAAATGCTTACAGTTACCTCAGTCGCATTCATCCATGATGGATTTTTTGCCAATTAGTCATAGATTTGTAGTGAACTAATCAATTTGTTTTGAAACTAGTAACAAAACTCAGCAGGAGAATTAAGACAGGTATGTGCTTCAATCTCTCCACTCTGATGAATGAGTCTTGAAAGTTTTTAACACACAAATTTGATACAGCATTTTAATACCTTCCTTCCACCTCCAATTTGTTATTGCTGCTGTTCATTTTGATGCGTATTTGCTTTATTTGAATGAGGTGCAATATGCCTCCAAGCAATGAGGGAACTTTGTTTCTCTCCTAGCTGACCTGCTAAACTCTTGAATGTTTCAGATGGTGTAAGACAGGGTATGCAGAATATACAGGAGAGATTTGACAACCATCATTGAAGAAAGGTAGGCACCTAGAAATCAGTTGCAGGTTACACTTTGGTGAGCTGCTTCAGAAAGCATGACTTAATAAACTGTACAGGAAATGTAGATTCAATATGGGTGCATTTCTGGAAGGGCTGAAAAGGGATGCACACAGATTTTCTACTTAATCTTTTCACCACTAAAAACCCTCTCACAAGGGAAGGTTAAAGTTTCATTTAAACCTCTATTTTCAATCTGTGATAGCAAATCAACAACAGATCATTCTGTCCTTTTATGAATTGTTGTTCATTATTTTAATCAATTGTTGCTTCAGACTTACTTCCTGTTACACTTTGAAAAGGATGCACATTTATAGTTTTCTTTATTAGAAAGAAACTCCTTTTATAATTATTCTAATATTTTGCCTCATCATCTTGATTAAAGGCTAAGTTTCAATCTACATTTAAATTACAATAATATTCAACTGTCTTAAGAGTTTCTGATTGCATCTCTTTCCCAAAGGGATTGACTACATAGTAATGCCAGTCTATGTTTATTAAATACAAAATTGAATTCATTAGGATCATTTTTCTTGGGAAGATAAAAATCACCAGTAATTTGAGCCACTTGCATGCTGTAAAGGCTAAGATTGGGTTACATCAATGGCTAGACCAATGAGAAAATGCAAAGCACTGTACTGTGCTGATTTATTGTTATAATACATTGATGTCAAAGTCAGTCATGCCTGGCAAATGGTTTAGGATCAGGTTGTAAATTACTTACCCATTGTGATCTTTCATTGTGGTCTTAATAGGCTTGCTGGAATCAGGTAAAAGGAATGTCGTCATGAGGGCAATTCCCAACAGATGCAAAGGAAGGAATACTGCATAGATTATGGTATAATATATGAGAATTTGCAGCAGCTTTTCTTTCTGTTTTTTTAAAATGATTCACAGGAAAGTCCCAAATTGATGTTTAGGGTTCAACCACTTCAGATATGACACAGTCAGTCTCTTGAAGCTGCACTGCAAGTTATACCATAATTCTTTTTAACTGAGCATCGGAGGTCTCAGATTGGCTGTTCGTGAAGGTGTGGCACATTGGAGAAAACATCCCCCCACCCCCACCAGAGCTTGCAAGACAACACTAAAAAGAAAGGTAGGCCAGGGCCGGCTAACCTTACTGCTCTATTTGTGTTCTAACCAGAATCGTTCATTTGGCAGACCTCCCCCATGAGGCAGCCTGTCCCCAACACTGCTGCCTTTGCTTAAAACGTGTGTATGTTGCACGTGGGACCGATATATAAGGCAAGTGTGACAAACAAGCATTTGAGAACACCAGCTTGGCAGGCATGAGAGGCAAAATGCTGAGTTTCATATAAACACCAAGTTAGTTTTTAACATATTGCTCTCAGTCTCTTGTGTGTAAACAAAAACCAAGGCCTCAGTGATGAAGTCACAGCTGATTTGGGGATTGCGCGACAAAGTCAAAGATCAGCAGAAATTCACGGTACATTGCATGATATGAGATTATACCTCCAGGTATTTTTTTCAGGAATGCCATCCCTCAGACAGTAATTTCAGAATTGCCTTTGGACATTCAAATATTTTTTTCTGATACTATTCCATATTTCTTTAGCAGCTATTTTTTTCTTACTCAAATGTAAAACAGATCACTTTTGTCCTCTATTAAGCTGGGCACAGCCACAGGGCCAAGATTTTATGTAAGCAGGAACACAGGAAGTTGTTTGAGGCGTATGACCAAGGTGCAGCATGAAATTAAGGATAATAAATCCAAATAACAGGACCCCTCTGCTGACTAATGACAGGCCCTTATTTCCTGCATCTCTCTGGCTTGGGTTTAGAAAGATGTGGTCATCTTGAAGCAAAGAAGCACGGAGTCATATACAAACAATAGACTTACTTTATAGATAGATGCCCACAGAGTATATTTTAGAACATTTATTAATAAAAAGCCAATAGATTTAAGAAGTTAGAGAAAGGAAATGGTACCATGGTACCTGCTGACAAAGTTTGAAACAGGAGATGGGATAGTGCAGGGCTCTGGTCAGAATGCCCACACGCAGCATTTTCCTACTGCTGTCATATTTTTCGCTTGAACATGTTATGATTTGCTATAATATGGCAGTCTACCCCTGTCAAAGACCCTTCATTGACTTAGGGTAATACCCCCATGCTGAAGTCTTTGCTGATATCTCGTTTACAGTTCTATAGAAATTTCCCAATTTATATTCTGTGCTTTTATCCTGTGGTTTACCCTATTTTGGGCATGAACCTTATTGACTAAGCCTTATTCTCATCATTTTTTCTCTCAGCTCAAGCAGAACTAATAAGCTGCCAATAATAGGCCAAGAGCAAACCTGGTTCAGAAGACAGCCTTTTCAGCTAGGCCTCTTTGGTATGCTTAATATGGCTGTTACCTTAACTAAGCTTTTTCAAATGGTACTTAAAATTCCTTACACATTCAGCTCAGTATTGACTGCACTGATTGGCAGAATCTCTTCACAGTTTAAGACAGGAGCCTTACCCACCTTTTCCTGAAACTGTCAGGGACTGAACCAGGTTTTTCTGTATGCATAAGAGGTTAAATTACATTGACACTTGATTCCTCACCACCACCATGTAAATCCCTTGAGTATTCTGTTTCAATGTAGAAAAGTGGGCTAGGAATCATACATTTAATAATTATTATAAGATTGGAGTGTGAGGTGAAAGGTAAGATTTGTGAACCATTATGCTCAGTTTGGTATAAATTCACCACCTGCTGTGTCATAACCATTTGGAAGCTTCCCAATTTAAATGCTGGAAAGAATGTGCAAATCCAGCAGTCTGAACTATATTAAAAAATGTTATGCTCATCCAACTTCTCTGAGATCTGAGACATTTCAGGGGCACAGCACCACTTAGCTGGGTTTAGTGTCCTTTGGAAGGAGCTCACTTGAAGTTTATTAATATTTTGGAATCTTTCCGTTTATTTACAGATTAGGCAGAAATGAAGGCACAGTTTAAGCACTCCAAAATCCATATAAATTCATGGTCCCATCAGACTGGATCTGATATAAGCCTGTATTACCGACTTTGTTGGGGAACTGTATAAAGTCCGGGTAATAAAACAGTTAAATTATTGACAGCTATACAAAAACCAAATTCTGTAATCAAAATTCAGCTGACAACATGATGCCATCACTGTAACTATGGATATAAATTGGGCAAGCTGCATTTCTGTCTGTCAACATGTTTAGTGGGCATTCTCCCAGAAGGCAAGCTGCATGCTGTCCCCGATCATTGCCTCTTCACAGAATCTTGTGGAGATTGCTACACATTCAAAATGCTATGAATGGATTTTTTCAACACCTTGCTTCCCATGTTCAGACCTAACATAGCCCTTGTACATGTGCTAGATTTTCAGTGGCCTAAGGTGAGGAACCCTGCCCTCCAGTATTTCAACTCTCCTTCTCTTATGTGCTATGATATAAAGCAAGGATAGCTGGAAGCCATGGATGTGTTTTATTGCTCTCCATTCCTGAAGTGAGCCTTGTTGAAGCATGAAGTACACGGCGCATTGTGCCGCCCTGTGAGAAAGACCGCTGTTGTTGGTGTGCCTTCCTAAGGCATCCTGGCTGGGACTCAGAGGAGGAGGAGCAGGAGGAGGCCTCGGATTGAGGGCCAGTTCCAGATGTTGAGATGAGAGAAGCAGAGGTGCTTGCCTCAAGGCCAAACTCCCCAGGCAGCCTCTGAGAATGACCAAGATGTATTGCTACTGGGAGGGGGCTTGGAATAGGGGAGTTTCTCGGAGACAGACAAGGTGGGTACCGCTCATGAGGAAATGTCAACAGGGGAGGGCAGCCCAATTAGAGAACTGGTGTGCAGAGAGGACATGTGCTGATTTCTAAAAGGTCCCTGCCAAAAGGATGAGGCCCTAACATACTCAGAAGGAGCATTCCTAGAAGTAAATACTAGAGTTTTTGAACAAATCCCTCTGTGCATGCTCGGAGATTTCTTCTGCTTGTTCATGCTTCTGAAAAGCATTTTGGTCAAACAATGTTTTACAAGAAAGGTCTGTAGCTCTGAGTGTGCAAAAGAAGGAGACCTTGATCACAATATGCCCAGTGACAAGTGGAAAGATTAATATCGAGTTCATTCAACTTTAAATTATTAGGGAAGCAATCCTGTGCATATTTAGACAGAAAAGCGCTCTGCAACATTTGGCATTGTCTGACCAGCATGGCTTGCTGGAGAATGATGGGAGTTTTGGGGTTCTTTGCCAGAATCATTCCCTGGACTGATCTCTTTGCAGAAAACTCTGCATTAACTAAAGAAGAGGCTGTAAGTGAAGGAGGATAGAGGGGGTCGGGCAGCAGCACTGCAATGTGAAACTCCATGAGGATAATTGGCAGCATTTGTGACATGATTCTTTAAGTCTCCAGTAGAGCAAGCTAGCAAAACTGAAAGAAACGGAAATTAAAGTTCTGCTAATGAAATAGACTTGCCAGTTGTTCAGAGCTGCTGTCTCCCTTCACTACCTTTATCTACCAATCTCCCTCTCTAGCTCCCAAGGCTAAAGTCTGTGTGGACTGGCCTTTTTGAAGTAATTTGCTTCTGGTATGGTTATTTGTTCTCATAAGTGCCTTTGATTGTTTAGTTTTAACTGTGTCTTTATTATTAATCCCCAAGTATCAAATGAGTAAACAATGCATTAACAGGGCTTTTCCTTCAAAAGAAAGAAACTTTATGATGCATTTAATTACAGCAGTGCATTTCTGAGAATATATTCAGGTATCTTTGTGAGCATGACCTCCTTTCCACTGGGAGAATTTTTGGGTGCAACTGTTCCTTTTCCCAGGGAGCTTGCCTTGAACAGTTCTTTTACCCCAGTGACTCAACAGCCACACTTCTTCGAGCCATATCAGGGGCTCAGATTCAGGTTTCATATTACTGATTTATGTAAGAGAAGTGTAAGTGTAGCAGTGGCCAGATGTGAGGGCAGGTGATGGATTCAGAAGCAACTCCTCTCTTTCTAGAATCTCAGAAAATGCTGATCACAAGACTTGAAGGCTATATGACTTGGAAGTCATGAGGGCTATATATTACCTCTACTATTGGAGGCAGTTTGCCTCTCAATTCCAGTTGCTGGGAAACGTGAGAGGAAGGGTGCTATTGCATTCATAAGTCATGTCCTGCATGTGGGAGTATGGTAGGCAGCTGGTTTGGCTGCTGTGGGAATGGAATGTTGAACTAGAGTCCTTATGAGCCTCGTTATAGCTAAAGATACCAGGAAGAGTGGGAGAGACTTGCTTTTCTGGGAGAGAAACTGGGAGATGCTAATTTACTGAGTGGAAATCCCTGATAAGCTGGTTGTCTTGCTCTTTCCAAAATTCTCTGCCCTATCAGAAGTTCAGGAAAGTCATAAGATCCTCTCCACCACTTGGCAGGACACTAAAGGTAAGAAACAACCATTTACTGCATGGCTTTATTTATGTCACATACTCATTTCCCACCTTCCTACCATCATTTAACTCAAGAGGACATACCTGGTATTCCCAGGTGGTTTCCCAGGTCCAGCTTCAAGGTCAGGCATAAGTGGGCACCTACCAAGGACCCACAGTCCAGCAGGGGCTCACTGACAACAGTCCCTTCAAGTTGCTCCTCCTCTTTACAAATGCAACCTGTTCATTCATCTTCCCTTCACGCTGGCCCAGGCAATGGTGGTTGTGAGAAGGAAGAGCAATAGATGCTACTGTCCGCTTGTTACCAGAAAGAATGAGATGCAGCGGTTGTGACGAGAATGGTGAGGAGTGGGCTCATTGAGAGTGTCCTGTCCGAGGGCCCTGAGGAACATCGAGGTGGGATTGTGGTTCCCCATCTTGACACTGATCAGACATAGACCTGCTTCCTTGAGCTGTATCATCTGCCATGGCAAAAGGACAGAATGGGAATTTAACCTTTGGCTATGGTTATTTGCATTTATCCTTTCTCATATTCTGATAGCAAATTGTGTGTTCATACTTTCCATGAATGCTTTGCTAAATTTCTTCTCATTAATTCAATCTGTACAAAGTAC